CTTTAAGTTTGAAGCTCTATATCGTGCAAATTCCATTCGCAGTTTCTACACTCTGGAAAAAATTGCTTCAAGTTTGAAGCACTATATCTTACAAATTACATTCACACTACTTTTTATACTCAGGAAAATTCGTTTAAGTATGAACTGTAGTATCGATGCTTTCTTTGGAACATCATATCCTGCAAATTACATTCATGCTTTCTACACTCTCGAAACAATTGGCTTAAGTTTGAAGCTCTATATTATGCAAATTACATTCACAATTTCTACACTCTGGAAAAAAAATTGCTTTAAGTTTGAAGCTCTATATCCTGCAAATTACATTAACATTTTCTACGCTCTGGAAAAAATTGTTTCAAGTTTGAAGCACTATATCGTTCTAATTACATTCGCACTTTTTATACTCGGGAAAATTCGTCGAAGTATGAACTGTAATATCGATGCTTTGGAACATTATGTCGTGCAAATTACATTCATGCTTTCTACACTCAGTAAAAAATTGCTTCAAGCTTGAAGCACTATATCGTGCTAATTACTTTTGACAAAGGGAAATTCGTTCAAGAAAGAATTGTAATATCAGTATCTTGAACAATTATATCATGTGGTTCAAATTACATTCCCAATTTATGAAAATTAGTTCAATTTAGAACCATTATATCGTGCAAACTACATTCACACTTTTTATATTTGGTAAAAAAACGTTCAAATTACATTCACATTTTCTAAAAATTAGATCAAGTCGAAACCATTATATCCCGCAAATTACATGTACACTTTTTGAAGTTTTAATAAAATTGCATCTAGTTTGACTCATATTATCGGTATTTACCAGTATCAGTACTTCGAACCAGAATATTGTGCAAATTTGCTGTTACCTTAATAGGCTTTTCAACTGAACGATAATTTTGTTCAAAATAAATCGTAATATCTTCATTTAATTAATAATAAATGTGACTTAATTTAATATTCATACTCGCAGACAATTTGAACTATATGTTCGCCAAATGTATAATAATATTTTTTACATTGTGCCTAAGTTACCTTTTAGAAAGTTTGATTCGATTCAGGTATCTTATTTAAAAAACTTATTTTTTCACCCATGCTTTCAAAAACGTGGCACAACATTCATTCTTTTTTAAAGGTAAAATAAGGTTATTTTAAAGGAAAAAAGGAAGAAAAAAAATACTTTCCATTTGAAATAGTAAAAGTAGAACAGACGATTTTTTTTTATTTCTATTCGCGCTGATTTTCTCCTTGATTAAGTTCTAAAAAGAAGAACAGACAAGAAATTATCGGATAGTCAACTACAAAAAAAATTGTAAACTGACACGAACGTTACGGTCACAATCAGAGCGAGAGGAGTTTGAAAATAAATAGAAATTTATCTTTATTTTGCAGGTCCTTTCCCTTATTTTGGTTACTTCCTAGATCCTTTGAGATAACTATCTCAAATTGAGAGTGACCGATAAAAAAAAGAGAATAAAATAATCGCTTGGATAATCTTTATTGATATCCTCCTTTCAAACGATTATTACTTGATTTCAATTTCGCTTTTAAAAATGTAAAATTGACGGTCTGTCTGTTAAAATATTTTTTTTTCATTTCGGTTTTCCATTTTTTTTCCTTCTGTTTTATGTCTGAAAATCTCATGAGGTTTTTTTTTTATACATATTAGTTTTTTTTTCCAATTAAATTTTCATTTTAAATAAAAATCAGCTGACTCTAAAGCTTAACTAAATTATTTTCTCTAGAATTTAAATTATAATTATTTTCTTTAGATCTTTTAGATAGTTTAAAAAATTATTAATCCATAGGTATGGCTGATAAAGTTATTATTATTTTTTTTATTTTTTTTTATTTTTAAGAGTGAAATAAACGAAGTTTTGATAGTAAATACTGTTAAAAGAGTGCGAAATATTTTAGCAGAAAGGTTTCAAGTTTTTATTTCTCTTCGATACATTGTTCACTCACATTTTAAACGAAAAATCAATTTATCCCCTGCAAAATTTATGTTCTGTAGAAATTTAAAGCTGACAAAAAACAGCCGCTCTTTCTTTTGAATAATACTTATCGCCTTTTTGCATCGCTGTATAATTAAATTTAATGGTGGCAGTTACAAAAAGCTTCTAAACACTCTTATCTCCTATTATATTCTTAACAAAAAAAAGTTAAGCTATTTATTCCGAAAATCCTATTTTAGAAAATTACTTTCAGTTTTGTGAAGTTTTCGAAAAAAAAAGCTCGAAAATTTCCGGGTACAACGCTCTTATTTCTGATTTCCTTATTTTACTAAATAAACTTATTCATTCAAAAGAAGTTTAATGGTTGTTTAGCTTTTAGTTCAACAACGGCGAATATACTAGAAGCTGTAACTTGCATTGCGAACTGGGTTAATAGTGGAAAGGGGTTAAGAAAAGTGGTACAAGTGGAAAGAATCCCTGGAGCTTTTCGCATGAGTTCTATCTACTAAATGGAATTATTTTAAAACTTAGTTAGAACGAAACAATCAACTCCTTTCTTTTAGAATTTTTTTTAAAAATTGTGTTTAATATTAAGTGATACTCCACGGAGATAAAAAAAAAATTCAAGTATAATTACCGTACGGCATAGCAATAACATTTCTGGTATTTTTAAAAAAAAAGAAGAAAAAAAAAACATAATTCTAGTTAATAAAATTAAAATATTTAAACCATTAATTTGGTAATTTTTCCGTTCATATGTTAACTGTTTACCTGAAATTCTGGTTTTTAAAATGAATAGTTCCTATTACCACACATTTAATGTAATTTTGTAATGATTGTTATTATTATTACATCACTTAATTTATTGCAATTTTTTAATTTAGTAAAATATACAAAACTGATAAGTAAATTTAACCGAATAAATAATTTTTAGTCCATGCTTGAATTAAACATGATAAAATATGAATTTTATCACATTTAGCAAATTTTACCACATATTATGAAACCATATATTTTATTGTAAATGCTTCTAAAATCGTTACCAAAAACACTTAGATAAAAATTATAGAGCTAGAAATATGGTAAATTTTACCATGCTGGTCTCGGTAGTTTTGACCATAATTTTTTTTCAGTGTGATTTTTGTTATTATGGAATCAGTCTCTCTTTTGGAATATGCGCATTTCTAAACTGTTAGACGTGTTGGATCAAGTTATTTAGTTTTTTTTAATTAACCAACACATACTATTTATTTAATTTGTCAATTTTAGTTTTTTTTTAATTAATCAGTACTATATACCTTTCATTGCGTAATGACTAATTAAAAACACACTATTTTTATTTAACTCTGATTCAATCATTGCGACATTTTCAGTGACAGTTTTGAGTGAATGTCCGAGATCTATTGGTCTAATAAATGTCTGATGTCGGTGAAGTGGACCATAACAATGGGGTCAAATACATATTAATAAGGGTCCGGCGATAGTTTTTTTTTCCTAGGAAGTATTCGAATGATGATTAAGCCACAAAACGATAGCCTCTTTGACCGAAAACATAGAGCTGTCTTTTGTAATGATGCAAATTAGATATCTTCTGTAAAATTATATGTATAGGATCATTAACCTGTTAGGATCGGGACGAAAGTTTCGTCGCTATTTGTACTTCAAATAACTAGCTATTGTTTAGATTTTTCTTTTTATTCATTCAACTTGTTGAATACCTGTTCTTCGTACGGTGTGGAAAAAAGTACGCAATCAATACAACACTACGAAATCCTTCACAAAACTGAAAGACCGACACAATTAATAAAACTAAAACAGTTCAATTCTTTAAATTTATTATTACACTGTAGAAAAATTTCAGAAACTAATTTTGATTCGTCAAAAAATCTCAGAGAGCTAATGTCTTGATCAATCGAGAAATATTTCTTAAGTTCGAAACTGAGTCTCATTCAGTTTTTCCGAAATATTCAGAAACATTTTTGAAAATTAAATGCACCTTAGTTACCTCATATATTTAGAAAAGTTTCAGGATTTTTTTACAGTGTATATTTTGTCCTTCCCGGTGGCCTTACTTTATTAGATTAATCAAAACGCGTTCTTCATCCAATCAGAATAAAGATTAACTGTATCAAGACTTTTATTGGTATGTTGTTGTTGCTAGAGTCCAACACATAATACTAGTCAAAAATTACCATAATCACGCTATTTTCTCTGGTATTAATCCTTTTAAAGGAACAGTAAGAAATCTCTCTTCACAGTATCTATGTTAAGAGAACGCCACACCATGAGAGAAATTCTCTTTCACCTACATAAATAATTTAAAGTACAGAAAGGGGGAGTTCAGGCAAACGTAGAAGTGATTCATGAAGTTTCAAACATTGAAAAGAAAAATTTTGAAAATAAAATTTGAAAAGATTACACAATGGAGAAGTTCTCTTCCAATAATTCTTTTGATATTTTAAAATTTATTTTCAGCAATTGAAAATTCATGACTTACTCTACGTTTGTCTAAATTCACTTTTTCTTTACTTTAAATTTTAAATTAGTTATACAGGGGAAAGAGAATTTGCTACGAAAATTTTCTCCCGCGGTGATGCGTCCTCTTAGAGCTTCCTATCGATGCAGTTTTTTTTTTTTTTTCATTTAATAAACTTTTTATGTATTTGTACTGTATAATAGCAGTTTCACAGTGTTTTAAACGCTATATTTTGAAGGGGACTTATTCGAAAAAGATTTGAAATAACGTTTTAGTTAATTCGACGATATCAGTAAGACATCAATAAACAAATACAGAAAAAAAACACCATGTTTAAAGATTTTGCAAGATAAATTAATGATAAGCAGACAATAACATTATTCCAAAATTTGAATTTTTTCCAAAATTCCCTCAGTATTTTGTTTCAATTCACTCTTAAATTACATCAATATTGCTAACTATCGATATTATTATTAGCAGGTGTTAGTAATCTTATTTCAAATATTCATTGTTTTATTGCAATATTATATATATATTAAAATGTTTAAATTTTTTTTTTGTAGGATGGTCACCTTCGGCCGTTGCCAGCAGTTCGGGAGCATCCAGCTATTGTTCGGGTGGAGGGGGATCCACACGTGCCACACCTTCCCCCCCTATGATGGATGGCCAAACAGATGAGGGAATAGATTCCGATGCTTCCTCATCCTTTGCTGCAGATGATGCGTTTCCAGCCCCCAAAAGAAAGGTATCAAATTAAATATAATAATACTTCACATTTTGTTCTTCAATTTAAGAATACTATTAAGAATCTTATATTCCAAAATATTCTGCAATTTGTTATCTTTGCAGGGTTTTGTTAAATTGTTTTTGTTAAATTATTTTTGGAGCGGTGGCTGTGGGGATAGAGAGCTCGCTTCACAAACAATTGACCCAGGTTCGGATCTCAGAGGTGACTGATTTGTACGAATTCTGTTCCCGGCTTACACTGTCACTGTTTTCTCAAACATTATGAGTTGGTGACCCATATCGATTGGTCCTTTTCCTTTAATAGCCACTTAATGATTTTTTTTTTTTTTTTTTGTCTGGAGTAAATTATATTTCTTTTAAAAAATATAATCGAAATAATCAACGGCTATAAAAAGTTTAGAAAGAAAAAAATAACAAAGAAAGAAGAAAAAAACGATGGGAAATCGTGACCGGTTGTTTATTTAATATAAGTCGCCACTTTTTTTTGCGTTGATTAGCATCGTGGCAAGTGGTTATTTTTAGGTCTTTCTCTTTTTTGATTTCATTCTTTGGTAATTAATTGCATTCAAATTTTCCATTTAATTTCCCGTGAGAAAAATTCATGTTCGATTTTTAATTTAGAGCTTTATTTAACAATTCAAAACGCTATTAGCAAGAATTAAAAATGCATTTCGATTCTTTAAATTTATTCCTAGTATTTTTTTTTAAAGAAAAGTCAGTTTAGTAAAGGACAAATTGCTTTTTATGCCAAAAAACATGACGAAATTTCATTTGAACCTTTCCACTGATAAACATTCTCTTAGTGCAAACGATAACTTTTATTTCATAATAGAATTTTCTGCTCTCCCAACGAAACTATCGTGCTCAAAACAAATTATTCTTCGACAATTAAAACACCGTTTTTTTTTTAGTTTTTGTTTGGAAAAAAAAAATCTTTCCCCAAACGATTCTTTAAACCGTGCGCTTTCCTTAATCATTTCAGGGTACACATAATGTGAAGCGAAGCATGTTCGGAAAGTCTTGCCTAATTTCTTCTAGGAAGTGTTAATTTTAACTGCAATTAATCTTCGGCTTATAAGCGTTTTCCTTTATAGCTTACACCTGATAATGAACAGAATTACTTTTCTCTTGAATGTTCTGTAAGACGTTCTCTGTTCCGCAAAGTTAAGTTCAAATAACAGCTATAGGTATATATTGTTAATTCAGGTTATAAACTGCCTATTAACAGTTAAATTAGCTTAAAAAAATTTTTTTTTGCTATCTTTATTTTAATAATTCTTAAAATAAAATTTATTTCCGAATTTTTTTTTCATTTAGGAAGGAGTGTTTGTTGTTTTGCTAGAAAGTGTTAATGTTAACAGCAATTAATCTTCGAATTATGAGCGTTTTATTTTGTACAAACGTGATTTTTATTTTCGTGATTTTTATTTTCATTATCTTACCTGATAATGAACAGAACTACTTTTTTCTTCAATGTTCTGTATGGTATTCTGTGTTCCAGATAGTTAGGCTTAAATAACAGCTTTGTGGAAATATTGTTAATTCAGGTTATAAATTGACTGTTAACAGTTTAAATTGGCCTAAAAGAAATTTTTGCTAGTTTTATTCTATTTTTACAATTCTAAAAAAATACAAAACAATTTAATATGCTCATATCAAATAATATATGTTCTCATTGTTTTCATTAAAAAATTAAAGATGTCAAATAGTATTGTTGTGTTAATAAATAATTTAAAAAAAAAAATAAAAGAATTTTAGCGGGCAAAATGTATTGAACATTAATAGTTTTTCTTGTTAATATTGCTTCCAACAAACAAAAATAGCCGTATTAAAATTTTGCATGATAGCGATATTGGAGTGAAACAAAATATAATGAAGATTAATAGCTATATTGTAATTAATAATGAAATAAATGTCATTTGGTCTTAAGCTCTTTAAATGTAATTGCTTTTAGTAAATCGTCTGCCTTTTCTTAAAAAATATAATGTCGTATAAGTGCATTAAACATTAATAGTTTGTATTTTGCTCATTAAAAGAAAAGAATAATATTAGGAAGCAACCCACAGATGGACTACCATGCAGACTTTTTCTTTTTAAATGTAATGAATTTTAATGAATCTTCTTCGCAAGCCGTGTTGAAAATCTTCCTGAAGGCTAAAAATCTCATATTTTCTCTCCTTCGCATCTTATCGCATTTGAATTTCCCTCCTACTCTGTCTTATCTTTTTCTTTCTCTCTTTTTTCGTTTTAATAACTAAAGTCGAGGTCATTTTCCTTAGTTACTTCACTTCATATGTATGTAAGAAAAGAAGAAAAGAAAAAATCGTTTTTTTTTTCAATTGCTTCGAAGGTCGGATAGAGATTCACTTGCGTAACTGCCGAGTTGAGTGGAGATGTTTTGATCTGACAGTGTTTCGGTTTTGCAATAAAAGAAGACCGGAGTTTTCTACGCATTTCACCTTGCAGAGTATTTTGCATAGATTTGCTATCCACCTGTGAAGATTTATTTCCAAGGCCCTGGATTTTACTATCCTTCACTTGACAATCGCTTGTGTGTGCGTTAAAGTGTCACGGAAAAAAATTGCCGATAAAAATCGTTTGCTTTTCGCAATGTATGATTTAAGAGCAATTACGGAGTAAAAATAATGAAATCGTTTGCCTAAAAAAATCGTCTGTATTTCCACATTGGGTCTATAAACTTATTTGCATATAATGTATACGCTAGACAGAACATGAAAAAATTCTATATTTGTAAATATGCAGCGCATCAAATATGGCAGGCGTGATTCTTACACTTATTTATAGGACTACGACAGAAAAAATCTTATATTGGAGTACTTGGAAAAAATTGCTGCTTCTGAAATAAGCTTCCTTCGAAAAAGTTTTTAAAAAGAATCTTTTTTTAATTCATCATTTTGTTTAGGAAAATATTTGTATCTTACGTTTCAAATATTTTATAAACTTAAAAAGTAAATATTTATTAAATTTTGATAAATATTGTATATATATATATATATTTTTTAAAGTTTTACCCCTCTTACGATTTATTACGATTATTTATAGAATCAGTTAGAAACGATATGAGTTTTGTGAATAATATCGTTTAATGTCGTAGGGTGGAAGGGAGAAAACTTATCATATACATCAAATAAAAAGAATAATTTCATATAGTCGATATAAGTTTAATTGATTTGAATCTTAGAATCGACAATTTTTATCAAATCAACTCATAAAAGTTTCAAACAAAAATATTTGAACCCATTTATTCATGGAAACTGATTCAAAATAACATATAACAATTGAGTGATTAAATTTTTATGAGTTGAAATTCAAATTGGAATTTGATTTTCAATTCAAATTTAAAATCAAACTGTTAATCAACATATTGAAATTTTCATTTGAATCGATACAAAAATGACGATTTAATTTAACAAGTTTCTTTACTGATTTAAAAGAATAATTAAGAACCCAATTTCTAGAATGTTTATCAAAGAAAACATGAAACACGTGACTATAAACAAACAAGTGAACTATTCGATGTTTATGAATATTGAGTACGCCTCAAAAATAATAGTGGTTTTGTAACCAACCGAATATAAAAAAGAATGGGTATTTATCTAGGGTAAATAATTTACTTGTTATTTATACTACCGCGGTGGCAAAAATAGTAGAGGGAGAATACCTTCTACGTGCATCGCACTTCACTTTGGGTCCACAGAGTTGTAAGCATGTAGTTGCGAAAAAAAAGCTACTCTAATTCCCGGATGTAAACAGCTATTCTCTTAATTTTTCATGTTATTTTACGGCTTGACACTTAAACCGTTGATATTTTCTTACGAGAACAAAAACCAATGCTGACACTTAATCTTGGGACAGTGCCAGGAATTGTGGGCGAAGTACTCTTTACTTTTCCCCAACTGATAAACAAGATGGAAGGAAAAAAATCGTTTTATTTTTTTTAATTTCTCTGGTGTGTTTTCGTATCCATCCCTTGATGTAGAGCCTCTTTTATATTTCGTTCCGGTTATTCCATGAAGGGAGCAGGCTGTTTTTTATCAATTGAGAAAAGAAGGGGTTCTGGAACTTGCAGTTGGTTGTTGACGGAAAAGATAAACGTAGTTAAAATCTTTATCGTACTAAAATGAGATTTATTATTTTTTCAGATTTTTATGGATTTTTTTTCTTCTTCTTGTTTTTAATATAAATTGATTTCCACATCAGTATGAACTGTTTTGTTGTTAAATAAAATTAGTGAAGCGTTTAGGCCGGGATAATTTTATTTTATATTATAACCGTCGTCGAACAGTCGACCCAATTTTATGGGTTTACGACTACTAATGTTCAACTCCGTAGCCTTGTAATTTTGAATCCAATCCAGAAGACAAGGGAACTCCTGGATAGAGTATTGGGAGAAATTTGCCTTCGTGGAAGACTTTTTGATTGAGATAACTCGCATTTGCGTTGCATGGAGAGGAAGACCACGAGAACCTCCCACGGTTAGCCTGACGGCAAGGGGACTCTAACCCATGATCCGTCTACCACTGAGGATATTTCACGTCAGCACTGTGGTCGGTGCAAGCCGGATGCGGAATTCGTATCGACTGGGATTCGAACCCGGTTCGCCTCATTGGAAGGCGAAAGCTCTATCCCCTGAGCCATCACGGTCAATTAGGCCGGGATTGGCAAAGAGCTGGACTCGCGTTTGTGAAGACGGGAGTTTGAATCCAGCCGACCGAAGACTACCAGTGTAGAAGATTTTGACTGATGCTCGTTAAATGCGTCGGGTTACAAAGTCTTCCATGTTCCCTTTTTAAAAAAAATATCAATACCACTGGGGTACTGATCCAGGAGCTCCCTTGTCTTCTGGATTGCGATTAAAATTGCAAGGATATAAACAACATTTATTTGTTTACATCTAAAATCGTATCACGTTTTTATCAAAATTAGCGAACATTTTCCTTTTATTGCAGAACTTTCGACTACTTTTCATTTGCATCG